ATGCAGGGAGGGGGAGAAGAGGCGCATGAGACAGCCCAGTCGGAGGGCGTCATGCACACCAAAGAACACTTGATTCGCATAATTGAAGAGCAGGACCAGGCACTCGAAGCATTGAGGAGGGAAGTAGAGACTCTGAAGAAAGTAGGGGCCGCCGCGCCTCCCCCCGGCGGAAGGAAGAGAGAAAGGGATGAGGACGAGGAGGGTGGGTCCAGCACCTTGAAGCGCACGGAGGAGTTAGGTCATCTGACCAGACACATGGCACCAGACTTCGATGACCACAACGGGTGGGCGCCGCTGCGTCTCGGACGACCCTGGGGGGTCAGGCAGCCGTTGGTGCGAAGCATCCTAGCGGAGCAAGCCAACACGGTCATACCAGCGCTTCCAAGCTATGACGGTACCGCCGATCCAGAAGATCATCTGAACAACTACTTCACCAAGATGCAGTTGTACAATAGCTCGGACGCTACGTTGTGTCGCGCCTTCCCGTCAACGTTTGTCGGCGTGGAACTAGACTGGTACCATCAGATCGAAGAAGGGAGGATCAACAGCTTCGAGCAATTCGCGGCCATGTTCCTCTCTAAGTTTGCCAGTCGGAAGCGCAGGAGCCTAACCATTAGCGCTTTGTTCAAAGTAAGGCAACGCAAAGGGGAGGTGCTCCGGGATTTCTACGAGCGATGGATGTCGGTCGCGATGGCAGTCAAGGACGTCAAACCCCCAGTCCTAGGGTGTTGTCTGGATGAGTGCACCACCAGCGAGGAGCTTTGCCGAGTGCTATTGAAGCGTGACGTCGTGTCCACAGAGGACCTAGATCGCAGGGTGCAGAAGGTCATAATGTTGGAAGAGACGTTGGCGGCAAGGAGAATGGAGCGCCGAGAGGCGCGACTCGAAGAGGCGGAGGGGTCGAGAATGCCTCGAATGCCCTATGTCACACCGAACCCTTAGGGCTATCTTCAGAACGTTCGGCGACGCGAGCCGCAGCGCTTCGCGCCTCAGAGCGCATCAAACTTCACCGAGCTCAACGACTACCTGAAGAACGTTTTGCAGTATGCAAGGGACAAAGGCTATTACCTCAGCTGGCCAGGCCCCATGCGGGGGCGTCCCAACGAGCAGAACTTGGACAGGTTCTGCGAATTCCACCGCGAAAGGGGGCATCACATGACCGACTGCTACCAACTCAAGTCAGAAATCCAGGGGCTTGTGGATAGAGGGATGTTGAATGAATTCGTGAAGAAGAGAGAGGATAAGTGGCAGCGAACCTTCATGGCTCAGGAGAAGAAGGCACCGGCCCCTCAGGAGAGCGTCGGGGAAGACGGAGTCGCTCACAGGGAGAAGGTAGCGCTCATGGGAGGCGGCGAGTTGCCACCCGTCCCATTTCAGGTCGAGCTCGAGACTAACCACACCCGGGTGAGGCTAACCATCGAGGCTATCTATGGCACGATTGACCTGATGCAGAAATTGGAGGAGGGAAGGCGCTTGAAATCGGCCACCGCCAGTGCGCGCGCCGCCGTACGGATCCTCTTCAATGAGGCACCTGAGGAGGCGTGCCGGGTCCCGTCGGTGGAGGCTTTGGAGATTAGAGGAGTGGTGGCCGGGTGTGAGGTGAAAAGGATGCTGGTAGAGACGGGGAGCTCGATGGATGTGTTGTTCCGGTCCACCTTTGAGAAAATGCAGTTGTCACTTGGTATCGTCAGGCCATCCGACACGGTCTTGGTCGGACTTTCAGGAGTCCCAGCGCGAGTCATTGGGCGCGTGAGCCTACCCGTAACACTAGGGGAGGAGGAGCACAGGGTTACACATACCGTGGACTTCGGCATTGTAGACTGTCCTTCCGACTATAATGTGATCCTGGGGCGCCCCCTTTTAGCTCTTTTCAATGGGGTGGCGTCGTCGTGTCATCGGGTTCTGAAATTCGTCACCCCAAAGGGGGTCGGAGTGTCTAGGGGTGAAGCGTCGCAGGAAGCCCGTCACGCCAAAAAGATGGTGATGTACAACATCGATGTGCGGCCCGAGGATTTTCCCAGGGCGGAAGCGGCGGATGCTAAGATCCAGGTGCCTCTGGAGGAGGGGCGCCCCGAGCAAGGTGTGCGCATCTCGGCCCACACGAGCGGTGAGGCGGCCGAGTCGTTAGTAGGGTTGTTGAGGGAGTTCGCGGATCTCTTTGCGTGGAGCGCCCGGGAGATGCCCGGAGTAAGTCCGGAGGTAGCGGTGCATCGCTTGTCAGTAGAGAAGGGCGTGCGCCCGGTTCAGGAGAAGAGGAGGCCATTGTCGGAGGAAAAAGAGGAGGTGCTACGCAAGGAAGTCGGGAAGTTGCTCGAGGCCGGGTTCGTGGAAGAGGCAAAATATACGACTTGGTTATCCAACGTTGTGCTGGTTCCCATGACGTTAGGCGACTGGAGGATGTGCGTTGATTACACAAGCCTGAATCAGGTGTGTCCGTCAGACGCGTATCTGATGCCTCGCATCGATCAGTTGGTGGATGCAACCGCCTACCACGAGGCGCTCAGCTTCTTGGACATGTTTTCGGGCTATCATCAGATACTCATGTGCGAGGAGGATCGGGAGAAAACGGCGTTCATGACCCCCTTTGGCAACTTCCGATACAAAGTCATATCTTTCGGATTGAGGAACGTAGGGGCAACCTACCAGCGAATGGTGAACACTGTGTTCCGAGGGCATATCGGGAGGAATGTGGAGGCGTATGTGGATGATCTGGTAGTCAAGAGCAAGAAATGGGAGGACCACCTCAGAGACCTGCGCGAAACTTTCGAGACGATGCGTGCCTATTCCCTGCGTCTTAACCCACTCAAGTGTGTCTTCGGCGCGGAGGCCGGTAAGTTTTTTGGCTTCATGATAACAAAGAGGGGGATTGAGGCCAACCCAAAGCAAGTGGAGGCAATTAGGAGTCTCGAGCCCCCGAGAATGCCAAAGGAAGTGCAGAGTTTAAACAGGCGCCTGGCGGCGCTGGGGCGTTTTATCCCGCGGTCCACCGACAAGGGTGCCCCTTTCTTCCAAGTCCTGAAGAGAGCCGCTCGCTTCAGATGGACGGAGGAGTGTGATGAGGCATTTGAGAAGTTGAAGAGCCTCTTGGTGTCGCCCACCGTAATGACGGCACCACGGGTGGGGGAAGTGCTATACCTATACATTGCAGTTTCACGCACGGCAGTGAGCGCGGTGTTAATCTCGAGAGCGCCGGTAGATGGAGAAGAGCGCCCCGTGTATTACGTAAGCAAAGTGATGACGGGTCCCGAGACGCGGTACGCCCCCATAGAAAAAGTAGCCTTAGCCATGGTGGCCGCGGCAAAGAAGCTACGCCTGATTTCCAGGCGCATACGGTAGTCGTGCTCACGAACCTCCCATTGAAGAGCACGTTGGGGTCCATGGATGTGGCGGGCGCATGGTGAAATGGGCAGTGCAGTTAAGCGAATATGACATCAAGTATGCGCCTCGTTCAGCGATCAAGGCGCAGGTATTGGCCGATTTTGCAGCTGAAGGTGTGGTAAACAAGGGTGAAGGAATGAACGAAAGTTGGCAGGTTTACGTTGATGGGGCGGCAAGTCGAGTTGGAGCGGGGGCGGGGATAGTGAGGCAGGTGAGGCATATTTAATCCATGGAACGGTCACCGATGATGCGAGGCAAGCATGGCAGGTGAAGCGCAAGGCCGCACGCTGCACGATTTTAGAGGGCCAGATGTACAAGAGGTCGCACTCGGGGGCCTACCTGAAGTGTCTCACGGAGGCAGAAGGCGAAAGGGCGATAGCAGAGGTACACCAAGGCGCCTGCGGAATGCACGCTGGGGCAAGGAGCCTCGAGAAGGTGCTATTGCGACAAGGTTACTACTGGCCCTACATTAGGAGAGACGCCAAGAAGCACGTGGAAAGCTGCCATCAATGTCAGGTGCACGCCCACGACACACACGTCCCGCAAGCACCAATGCAAGGCAATGTGGGCTCACGGCCATTCGCGCAGTGGGGAATGGATTTGCTGGGGTCTTTCCCTAAAGCGCCCGGTCAAATGAAATACCTCATTGTGGCAGTGGATTACTTCTTAAAGTGGGTGGAGGCAAAGTCCTTGGCAACCATCACCCAAGCTCAAGTCAAGAAGTTTACAAACAGGAACATCTTCTCCCAGTTCGGGCTGCCCGAGTCGATTGTGGCTGACCATGGTAAACAGTTCGATTGCCGCCAATTCATCGAGTTCTGTGATGAAAATGGCGTTGTCCTGCGCTTCTCCTCGGTAGCCTATCCCCAAGCTAACGGGCAGGCAGATGCGGCTAACAAGAGCATCTTACATGGGCTTCATACAAGGTTGCTCGAGGCCAAGGGGAGATGGGTGGAGGAGCTCCCCGGTGTGCTTTGGGCGCATAGGAAAACACACAAAGTGGAAACAGGGGAAACGCCATTTGCATTGAATTATGGCAGCGAGGCGGTTATACCGGTGGAAATGCGTTTCCCAACACATCGGGTGGCGAGATATGAGGAATCGGCCAATGAAGGAGAGCGAGTCCACGACCTCGACATGCTGGAAAAGCGCGTGGACATTGCCTCTGTGCGCCTCGAAGCCATGAAACAACAGGTGGCCAAGTACTATAATCGTAAAATGCGCCCCCATAAGATACGTCTGGGAAGCCTAGTGTTACGGCGCGACTTCCGACCAAAGCCGTGTGAGGGGAAACTGGCTCCCAAGTGGAAGGGGCCTTATCGCGTCCGGGAGGTGATAGGGCCTGCCACGTTCAAGTTGGAGCGGATTGGAGGGAAGGCCGTCAAACGAATGTGTAATGCGCAGAACCTCAAAGCGCCCTACTTTTTGCCCCCCGGTGTTGGTGCAACGTTTGCATTAAAGCGCCCCAATTTAGCGCATTGAGATCGCGAAGCACCCTACTTGTCGCGCCCTATAAGGAATTGTTTTACACATGCCTAAGTACCAGCGCACAATGCGCCCTACGAGACGCTCCCTTAATAATAACTTGGTTGAAGGCGAACAAGGGAAACACCACATAGTTCGGAAATATTGAAATTTCATTGGAAGCAAAGGCTCACAGGTTACATCGAAGGATAAGGAAATTGAAAACAACAAATAACTGGTGGATGAGTAGTGAAGGCGCTCCGTCACTCTTCCTCGCTTCGCACCGCACCCTCGGGCGTCCCCTGCGGCTCGGGGAGGCGCCTCTCACCATAAACCTGTCCCTCGCCTTCTTCTTCCTCGCCCTCTGCGCCTTCATCATCTTCCGCACCTTCATCTTCCTCCTCATCCGCCTCCTCTCCGTCGGCATTCGGCGAGGGGACTTCCCGCCCCGCAATGGGCTCCAGCTCGCTAGCCTTGCGACCACTGTCCATAAAGTTGAGGACATACATGATCAAGGCCATGGAGTCCCACTCCATGGTCGAGGGTCTGGCCGAGAGAGATGACCGAAGGGCTAAGAAAAGCACTTGAGAGCAGCAAAGAGCAAGGTAGAGAGAGGAAGTAGAGAGAGCGAATTTGGCAGAATGAGGAAGGAGGAGGTAGCGGGAGGCAATTTATAGGCGAGGAAAGTGGGGGAGAGGGAGCGAAGCAAGGGAGGCGAATGGTCGCCTAGGCTGAGGCGAATTCAAATTGCGCAATTTGAATCCATTTCAGCCTAGGGGGACGGGAAAGTGGGCCAAGGATCGAGGCGAAAGCCCAAAGGTCCACTCGCAATAAATAAAAAGAAAAAATTAATAGCAGGGAAAATAGAAAAAAGGAAAGAGGAAAGATTCAAGTAAAGGGGGGAGCACTAACGCGCGTATGGGGCGCAACACGTAAGTCAGCAGGAGGTCAGAGTCAGAGCCCGAACGGGGGTAGTGCGTAAGAAAGCGCACGCCTTTGAAGAGATAGGTGGAAAGGGGGGCACGCAGTAGGACCTGAAGGCACTTCTCGAGACGCCGGGGTAGTTAGGCCCCACTTGAGGGTAGGCGCCTAACTGGGGGGCAATTATTGGGGGCATTCGGGGACCCAAGAGAGGAGCCTAGAGAGTTGAGAAGGGCCTAGGATGTGGGCCTGGAAAGGGAAAAGCCCATCCCAAAAAGTGGCCTGAGGTTGTAACCTAGGCGGTGGGTCCAAGCATGACGTAAGGCGCATAACGACAAAAGTGACAACGGCCAGGAACGTACGGATGAAACAGGAAGTGGGGCCATGCGCCTCGATGACAAGGCCTGGTGTCAGAATGTCGGGGCGCATGGCAGGGGTAAAGTACGGTGCATTAAATGAGATGATGACGTAGGGCGGATTCGGGGGGCACTGGTCGACCCTACCTGGGGTATAAATAGTGAAGTGGGTGGAGCTCATTTACTCAGGTTGGAACTTCTCTCTAAAATATACTCCACTTCTCTCTCTAGAAACACTGTTCTAACTTGGGCGTCGGAGTGCTAACGAGCCCCAAATAAGGGGTTCGGTGCGCGCCTTCGCGTGCAGGAACGAGGCGGAAGGTCGGAACGTGATCCAGGGAGAGAGGCACATCGTCCAGCAGAGAGCTTCGGGTTACGTGGCATAAACAGGGTGCAAACTTCGTGAAGAAGAAGCCGAGGAGAAATAAAGAGTTTCTCCAGTCCGGTCACGGTATAGTGCAAACTGACCGCGATGAAGTTTGCTGCTGTGAAATCATCCCGCGAACCCCTCGCGTTTAAAGATCGCGGCCTCCATGAAGAAGATCGTGGCCGCGATCTTTACCTGCCTGGCCTTGTGAACTTGTTCGTCTTCTGATGGCTATAAATAGAAGACCTTTACCCCAATTGAGGGAGCTGATTTTGTGATAGAATTTTTGGTTTTAGAGAGAGAAGAGAGAAGCTGAAGGAAGAAGAAGAGAAGGAGGAGAAGGAGCTAGAAGAAGAGGATCCATCTTCCTCGACATCAAGACTTCCCCAACCTCTTCTATGTATCTTCTTCCCTCCTTTATGGACTAGTCCTCCAAGGTACTTGGGGTTCTAAACCCCAAACCATAGTTTTAGGATTACTATCTAATGAATGGATATTTTAGGATTTTAATAAATGAACTTGTTTATCTAGTAGATTTCATTGTTTCTCTAGCTTTGATTGTGTTTGGGCAAATCGTCCTAATCTTCTCTGCTAGCCTACTTGAGCTTCTACGCTGGGTATGGAGTTTTAGGGTTAGACGGGTATGCACCATCAAGAAAATTGAGGTTAGATGTATGAATCATATCTTACGATGGACGAGGCGGCCAAAACCCCGCCATAGGAATGCCTTCCTAGATAGAACCTGAGATAAAACCTTGATGTGGACGATGGGTAATACCCATTGAAATGAGCTAAGTTCTTAATGCCCTAGATAAGATAGCCTAGATCGAGGTGACTGACATGGGCTTAGAGGAGGAGTACTCGCAGGCGTGTGGATAACCACAAACGCCCACGGAAAAGAGCTCACTGACCACATTCAACAAACCTTATTTTTTTAAACATTGCATAGCAGTCCTAGGCTAGGGTGAGGGATAGTTCCCAGAAGTACCTGCTCTTATCTTTATTTACTCTCTTAACTAGTTGTGTCTTGTAGCACATTTGCATGTGAAGAAGGGATTCTTTGGGGATATTACCTCTTAGTACAAAAATCGAGAGAACCATTTGGATTCTAAGAAGAGTTGCAATACATCAATCTCCACCAATGGCGGATCATCCAACTCAAGTTCCACCAAGTCCTAGAATAATGGGATCTTACTCAAGGCAAGTGTGCATAATGTTAAATCACTATGAGATCAAGCCGACCACAATTTTGATGCTTCTAAGTGCGTTTCAATTCAATGGAATGATGAGTGAAGATGCTCACGCACATATCAAATCGTTCTACGAGTTAACCGAGGAGTCAAGGTAAATAGAGTTCCTCGAGATGCAGTTCGTCTAAGGTTATTTTTGTTTACTTTGAATGGAGCGGAAAAGCAATGGTTGGATACCACCCACATCACTCCATCACCTCATGGGATGATCTATGCAACAAGTTCTTTGCAAGATATATTCCACCCTCTAGGACAGCTTTACTGAGAAGCGAGATTACTATGTTCCGTCAAGAATAGGATGATCCATTGATTGAAGCATGGGAAAGGTTTAAATCTCTCCTACTTAAATATCCACACCATGGCATCGTCGATTGAATACAAGTGGAAAGTTTTTATAATGGTTTAAGAAAAGAGTCACGCCACCTCATCGATGCGGCTAGTGGAGGTGCCATTAGAAACAAGGGAGTCGGTGAAATTCAATATTGATTGAAGAATGGCCCTTAATAGCTACGATTGAGAGGACGGAAGGAGAGGCAAAAGTGTGAAGAAGGGAAGTTTAATGAGAGTCGAAGAACCATCATTGTTAGCGGCTCATATACAAGAACTTTATAAGAAATTGATCAAGTTGCATCATCAATGAAAGGTAGTAGGAAGCAACTCATGAAATGTGATTGGTGTGGCGACTCGAGTCACACTATGGAGTAGTAAATCAATGATTGAGGCTTCAATACAGTTTGAGCAAGCCAACTTTGTTGAGGGGCAATCCCGAGGAAACAACCCTTATAGCTCAACATATAATCCGGGTTAGAGGAACCATCCCAACTTTCTTTGGTCTTCTCTGGCGAATTGAAAGCCTCTGGGTTTCTATCTCAAGATCCTATGCAGAATACTTATCCAAGGCCGAGTCAACCCTCATACCAAGGGGACTATCGAGAATAAAGTCGACCCTCCGATGGTCGAGTAACTAAACTTGAAGACTTAGTAGGTCAATTCGTTACACACTTGATAGACCATTGATTGCACATGTTTTTACCACTATTCTTGAGCCGTTTGAGATGTTGATTCTCGTGTTTTAAGCCGATTTCACACTAGGTTGTGCGTTTATGTCATATTTTAGGGTTTGGTGTTGAGATCGAGGCGAAGAAACGAGTTTCGGGTCGAAAGGAGCACGTTTGAGTTGAAGTGTGCTGGAGGGGCAAAATACCCGGCCATGAGCAAAAATACCCGGCTGGGTATTAATCGGAGCAGACCGGGGAAAAGGACTTTTGGGCGTCTGAGAAGCAGAAGGGGGCCCTGTCGTGAAGCTTAAATCCCCGATCGGGTATTTTTTACCTTGATCGGGGATTAACCCCTGTCCTCGCCGACGCGTTTTAAGAATCCCCGGTCTCCACCTAAAATACCCAACCGGGTATTCAGACCGGGGATCGCGATTGACAGCTTCTTAAGGGAAAAGAAGGGCAAAAGTGAAGGGTTCCGAGTTTTAGAGAGACAAAGTGTATACCTAGAGAGAGAAAGTGATGAACCTGATTCTCCAAGTGCCTTAGATCGATCTCCATCACCATTGGAGCCCGACTTGAGCTTTGAGAAGAGCTGATTGAGTGCCAGAAGCAGAATCTCATCCTTCACAGTATGGTTTCCGCATCTGAGCTAGATTTCCCATCTCTCTCTATGGAGTAACTTTCTTATTCGCCTGGGTATGAAGAACCCTAGATTTGTATGTTAGGTCTGATTGTATGAACCCAAGTACAGATTCAGTGATATGAGTATATTCAATTGAGGTCTGATTTATTGAATGGCATGAATCCTGATCAAATTCCTCTTGTTTCTGCTTTAACCTAGAAAGAGAATATCTGCCTAGGTTGATAGAGAACCCTTGATTCAAGGTAGTGAATTGACGACTTTAGTCGAGGAGTCAATTCACTATTCTGTACCGGATTTACTTCGGCAGTGGAGGTTTGGTTCGTTAAGGCCTCAATCTGTTTACTCCGGTGGAGGTTAGTCGCCCGCTGGGGACTCAGATTGAGAGGGTCTGGAGACCTTTAGTCAAGATTGCAGACTGTTTAAGAACCTCCCGTAGTATAACTATCATTCAAATTGAACTTGGTAAATTACAATCCAGCTTAACTGCAGTCTAGGGGGAACCATATCCGGGTGACCTCTCTCAACTTGAAAACAACCTTTAACTGCTTTGTTTGTTTGCTTGTTTGGACCTTCACTACACTTTCACTACTAAATAATAAGAACTCACGCAGTAGTCATCACACATAGGACCCGGGTTGACATTAAAACCCAAACCCGCTATACTACGCTTTAGGAGGTGGTTACACTTGGCCATTTTCTAGAGTGACGGTAGGTGCGAGTCAAGTTTTTGGCACCGTTGCCGGGGATGGCTAGGTTGTTGAAGAAACGTGGTTTCTGTTAATTTAACTTTTCTTTTTCGCATTGTTTGTTTGATGTGTCCCACTTGTGCCTTCACGGGTTTGCTTGCTTGACTGTGTGGAGGTAGTGCATGACCCGTAGCCAGTCGGGAGGTTTACTACCATTGGTTCCGAAGCTTGAATGCACCTATTGCCAACTTAGGAGACAACAGCGAGCTAGACTGGCTACGGAGGAGCCCATAGACGGCCACTTGAGCAGCGATTTCGAGGATGAGTACGAGATGGAAGGTGAACACAACCCGTCCCAGGGGATACCTCTCCAGGTTCCCCAAGTAAATCAGATCTTGGGGAACAACCCAATACCCCAGGTAGATG